CAATCAAATCATCCATCCATCACCAACCAGTTAGCCAATCAAATCATCCATCCATCACCAGCCAGTTAGCCAATCAAATCATCCATCCATCACCAGCCAGTTAGCCAATCATCAAATCATTCAGCCAGCCAACCGCTAACCAGTCGGCCAATCAAATCCTCGATCCATCCATCTATGCATTTTCCCATCCACTTATCCTCCATCTACCCAACCATCCAACCATCTGTCCATCCATTTACCTTTCCATCTATCTGTCCATCCACCCATCCATCCGTTTAATCATCCATCCTTCCAATAACCAGCCATTCACACACCAGCCCATGAAGCCCATGCCCCCCAACCCCAGGACCATCTACCAGGGAACTGTCCTTCACACACTCCTCATGCACCCCCTCCCATCAGTCCAACCGCTGAGCCCCCTGTCCTGCACACCAGAACTGGGACCCCAGTGTGGCTAAGTCCGTTCAGGCAARGAAGTGGAGGTCCACAGGATGGACACTCCAGGACACTGAGCGCTGAACACAGCCAGGAGGCACTTCCAAGCCAACTTCCTCCTCCCCTGGCGTCAGCGCCTTTGCTCTGGGATTGCCATCCTCCCACCAGCCACCACCCGGTGACTATGGGTCCTTCTTGGGACACGCATTTCCCACCACTTCCACCTTCTCAGAGGCAGATACTCATCAACCACCATCATTCAGATAAGGAAACCAAGGCGTGCAGGGGTGACATAGCTTTCCCAGGTGACACAGTGACCGCCTGGGAGAACCCAGGCCTGCCGCTCCTTCCTGCAACCTGAGGCGTGTTTACGGGGTGCTGCTGCTGGGGGGACCGTGCTCCCCTGTCTCCGGGTGCAGGGAGGCCACAGCGGGTGAAAGGCTGAGTCCATGTAAATGCTCACAGAGTCCTTCCCACCCCTGGCCAGTAGGGCTGTCCGGGCGCGTGGGGGCTGTGCCTCTGCCTGCACGGCCACCCCTCTCCCTTTGCTGATCACCCCATCACCCTCTCAGCCACCAGTCACAGCAAGGTCTCCCTCTTGACAGCTGTGAGACCCCTGCCTGCACCTCCCCAGCTATGGTGACCGCTTTGCCCAGTGTGTATCTCCACCAGCGGGAGGGACTGGCTCCCAGCACCCAGGAGGGTACTCAGCGGACACTGGCAGAAGGCTCGCCCCCTCTGACATGTCTCTGACCTCTAGCCACTCCTTCCTGCTCTCTCCAGATGCCACTAACTCCTCCTGCTGTCCTGAGGGCCTCCACCCAATGGGCCCTGACGATTCCAGCACCTGAGACACCGAAGTTCATGGCTGACCTCAGCACTTGCCCAGGACCAGGCCGGGCTAGACATTGGCGGTGGGCGCCTAGAGGATCCCCCACCCCTCGCCTCCTCCCCAGAGCCTCCCTGAGGGGCGGCCTGTGTCGCAAATGCATGGAGGCTCCTTGGTGGCCTTCTCTGTGAGAGACGTGCCTGAGAGCAAGGTCCCCAGGACGGGAGGGGTTTAGCATGTGGCCCTAGCGGCTGGCCCAGGGCAGGATCCCACAGGCCTCAGACATTGCAGAGGGAACCCATGAACGGATGGCCAGCCAGGCCAAGAGAGGCAGAGCCCCAGCTGAGGTGGCAGGCAGCTGGAGGGATCTGGTTCCCTTCGACAAAGGCTGGTGCAGGGACAGGTGAATAAATCATGAAGGGCTGCAGAAGGGCAGGGCAGGACAGCTGACCTCATTCTGGGAGTCGAGGAGCAGGCAGGTCCAGGTGGTGAGTGAGCAGGGCGGGCGCAGGGCACAGGAGGCCGAGGGGCTGCCAGCCCCTGCACTCTTCCTCCGGAGGAACAGGAGGCTGTGGCCAGCAGCGGGTGGAGGCCACCGAGACTCGGGGGAGTCACAGAGACGGTGGCAGGGCTGGGGTGGAGGGTGAGTGGGACACAGAACTGGGGACCCTGGGCCAGAGGGGTGGACGCAGGACAGGTGGGAGAAGGAGGCCATATCAGATGGGAAGGCACGGACCCAGGTCTGCAGGGCCCGGGTGGAGCCCCGGGGGCAGCCAGAAGCCCACCTGAGGCCTGGGGGGCGGCAACGTGGGAGAAGCAGGAGTTCCAGGAGGGCTTGTGCCAGGCCACCAGGGCGGGGAGGGAGCCCGGCCTCCGAGGCATGGACTCAACTAGCCACAGAGGGAGGACACTGGGAAGCCACTGAGCCACCCACCCACAGGACAAGGAGACAGCAAGGCCCAGAGGAGGTGCAAGCCCCAGGTCATGGACCTGCCCCAGGGCCCAGCGGCCAGCAGCACCCCTTCGGAGGACCCCAGCCCCACTGCAGGCACCGCAGGGCCCAGCCAGGCCCCTGCCAGCCCAGCAGCCAGCAGGAGGGCGCTCCTCCGGGAGCTTGAGGCCCAGGTGCAGGCGGCCTACGGGCAGGTAAGGGGGCACCGTCCTTGACTGAGGGAGCACAGGGACCCTAAGCCTCCAGGGGGATCCCTGTAGAACAGACCCAAGGCCAGGGCCGGGAAGAGACCAGGACACACATGGCCAGAGGCGTCAGGAGGTCAGCAGAGGCCAAGGGAGCCTCTCCCCACCTCTGTCCACACTGAGCGGCCACCCCCAGCACTCAGTCAGCCCCTTCAGCCCGGGGACCAGGGCCAGGGCTGACCCGGGCGACGGGCACGAAGGCAGGCAGGCCAGAGGCTGTCTCAGGAAACAGTGGCCCTGCAGCTGGGGCCGGGGGCTTCCTGGGCTGGGCCAAAGTGGCCTCCTCTCTCTTGAGAGCTGGCGGGATTTAGCTACTGTCCTGAGGGAGAGGGTGCCCGGACACTGGGCACCTGGGAGCCCGCTTCCTCCTCCCAGACCCCCCAAGACATGAAGCTTCTCCTGATGGGAGAGGTCAGGGGCAGGTGGGAGGAGAGGGGCCCGGGCAGACCCTCAGGGCCAGCAGAGCCAGGCTGCGCCTTCCAGGGGGCCTTGGGCCCCAAGTGGCCCCCCTGCCTTGGAGATGCTCAGAGATAATCCTGGATTAGGACCCAAGCCCCGGGCCCAGGCCCCCCGCCTGCCCACCCGCCCCATCTTCCCCACAAAACCCTGGGAAAATCCCTCGGTGCTCTCGGCTGTCGCTGGGAGCGGCTGAGGCTGGCAGGACCCGCAGCTCCCGCCGGGACACAGCCCCGGCATGGTTCAGGGGCCCATGGGAAACTGTGCCAAGCGGCCCCGGCGCCGGGGGCCTAAGGTAGGAGGCCGAGGGGGAGGAGCCGGGGTGGCCCTGAGGGCGCAGGTGGCGGGCCAGGGTCGTGGGGCGGGCTGCAGTGAAAGGTGGGGACGGAGGGGATGTCTGCTCGCCACCCTCAAGCGTCGTTTTCTCCTGGCCTGGACGACCCCAGGCTTGGCCCACTCCCGGTGGCCCACGCGGGCTGCTGGCTCCGGCTGCGGCCCTGCTCTCCGCTAGCCGGGCATGGCCAGTGTGGCCCAGAGCTGGCACCCGGGTCTCCTTTCCCCAGTGAACCTGGCCAAGTCCCTGGCCTTTCCTGGGCCTCAGTCTGCCAGCTGAGCAGCTGGGGACAGACGTGCCCAGACCAGAGGGCGGAMGGGCAAGGCTCCTGCGCGCCCTGGGCCCCTGCCCACTGCCTGGCGCTGGGTTCCAAAGGCGGACCTGAGGCTTGGGGAGGAGCCACCAGGCCGCTGCCCCAGCTCACGGYCGGCTCTGCTGCAGGACCCCTGGCAGTGGCCTGGCTTCCCGCTAGGGAGCTCCCAGCCCGGCCCTGGCTCCAGTCCAGAGGAGCCCGGCAGTGCCCAGGGCTACTCGGTGCTCGGCAGCCTGGTGGGGTCGGCCTGCATCTTCCTTCGGCCCAGCATCGCCGCCACCCAACTCGTATGTACGGCCGCGGCCGCCAGCCCAACGCCCTTGGCTCTGAACGGGAGAGAGAGGACGGGCGCAGGGTGTCATCAAAGCAAACGCAGGGCACTCCAGGGGTGGGGTGGGGGCAGAGGGCAGCTCCAGGAACAGAGAAGAGCTGGAACACCGGAGGAAAGAGACSGGGTGGGGACCCAGAGAGGCAGCCCCCGAGGCAGGGAGCATCTCGGTGGTGAGCACCTGCTTGGCTCGTGCCAGGCCCTGAGTCCCATCCCCAGGATTGAGAGAAAAAGAGAGGAGGAGGAGGAGGAGGAAGGGCGACCCACCCAGGGGTGAGCCGGCAGAGTGGCCCGGCCGAGAACAAGACACAGTGACACTGATGCCAGCAGGGTCACACCAGAGCCTCGACCTGATGCACCTCTGCCCAAAGGAGCCCCCAAATGGGGTGGTGACCTAGGGTGGCCCTAGGTACAACCTGGGCGGGTGGCAGGGAGAGGGCACCAGGAGGCCCCTGGGTCTGCTGTGGGGTGTCCTGGGTGGGCACCCCAGGGACAGGAAGGAAAGGAGCAGCCGCTGGGTGGTCCAGGGAACGCCTAACCCATCTGTGTCCCCCAGGACCGGGAGCTGCGGCCCGAGGAGATTGAAGGTAAAGGTTTGAGAAGGGAGGGGGCTGGGGTGCATAGGCAGGGCACCAGGTGGGGACCTCAGGAGTCTCCAGGAGGAGCCAGGAGCAGGAGGGAGGCCAGGGGGACAGGTCTGAGGAAGTGGGGGGCAGATTGAGCAGGGAGAGGTGGCAGGCAGACCCCCCTCTAGCCGTCAGGTCCCTGGTCTGCTAACACCTCTGGGTGACCCCATGGGCCCAGCCTGTGCTGGGCTCTGGGAAACATGGCAGCTGGGATTTGGAGCAGAGAGTGTTCCAGAATGAGGCCCCCTGAGGTCGGGAGTCTGTCTGCGTCTTCCTTTCTCCTTCCCTTTCTCAACCACTGACCTACACCCCCCAGTCCTGTAAAACTTTTATTAATTTTTTTCTTATTTGGTACTTGGGATTGAACCCAGGGTACTTTACTACTGAGCCATATCCCCAGCCTTTTTTATTTTTTATTTTGAGACAGGGTTTCGCAAAGTTGCTGAGGCTGGTCTTGAACTTGTGATCCTCCTGCCTCAGCCGCCCAAGTCGCTGGGATTACAGGTGTGCGCCACCATGCCTGGCACTTCCTTTCTTTTTTTTATTCACTGCTACATCCCCAGTGCCCAGAGCAGACCCTGGCATATAGAAGATGCTCCTTAAATATTCACCAAAAGAAGAAATTTTTAACAAACAGCTTGTGCAAAGTTCCTGAGGCAGCAAATGGGAACTGACGTTTGGAAGGAGGGAATGATTGGACCAGGGGAGGAGAAGGGGCTGATCCAGGCTAGGATGCAGCGGGAGCAAAGGAGGGACTAACCCCACCCTGCCCGGCAGAGCTGCAGGCTGCCTTCCAGGAGTTTGACCGAGACCGGGACGGCTACATCGGCTACCGCGAGCTGGGAGCCTGCATGCGGACCCTGGGCTACATGCCCACCGAGATGGAGCTCATCGAGATCTCGCAGCAAATCAGTACGTGCTTCAAACCTGCCCCATCCCTAGTTCTCCAGACACCCTGCCAGGACCAGGAAAGCTGGTGGCCAGGACCAGGGTGACCATGCAGGCTGTCCCCAGAGCCCAGGGGCTAGGTTGTTCTCGAAGCAAGCATTCTGCCTCCCCCAAATCTACCATCCTCCAAGAGAGGTGGGGCAAGGCCAGGGCTGTCCTCCACAGAGAGGGAGGCAGTGTGAGGCCCCAGAGCGGCTCATGGCGCCAAGACCTCAGCGACGTCAGGAAATGGAGGGGCGAGGAGCGTCCAGGGAGCTCTAAACAGTGGCTCTCCTCTTCTCTTGGCCAAACCCGTGCCTCAGTTAGAGGCTGATGCCCAGGAAACAGAGGGGGGAAGGACCCATTTCTGAGGCTGGGACGAGGGCCGGGGGCAGAGGCTGGGGTCTCTAGCAGGTGGGTGTGACCCCCAGGTGGCGGGAAAGTGGACTTCGAGGACTTTGTGGAGCTGATGGGCCCCAAGCTGCTGGCAGAGACGGCAGACATGATTGGCGTCCGGGAGCTCCGGGACGCCTTCCGGGAGGTGGGCCTGGGGCTGGGGGGCAGGGCTGCGCGAGTCGGGGGCTGAGCAGGGCAGACCCAGTGGGTGACCCCAAGCCATGACCAACGGCCACAGTTCGACACCAACGGGGACGGCTGCATCAGTGTCGGGGAGCTCCGGGCGGCCCTCAAGGTCCTGCTGGGGGAGCGCCTCAGCCAGCGGGAGGTGGACGAAATCCTGCAGGACATCGACCTCAACGGGGACGGCCTGGTGGACTTTGAAGGTACCGCCTGACACACTTAGCAGTGCAGGCCCTGGAAGGTTCTTAAGAGATCAAGGACAAAGGGAGTGTCATCGCATGTGCCAGACCCTGCACTGAGCACACCCTTGTCCCTCCTGGTCAATCATTACTGAGAACCCAGGAGGAAGGGACTCGGTCATCCTCCAGGCAGGAGAGTCAACTCTCAGGAAAGCCTGGGAGCTTAGCCAAAGAAACAAAGGAGCCAACACTGGAATCTGGGCAGCGGATCTTGAACCCAATACTTTCCATATAAAGGAAAAACAAAGCTTGCGTAATAATCAGAAGCCAAGGAACATTGCTATGTAGAAATGCAGTCTCCAGGGGCTGGGGATGTAGCTCAGCTGGTAGAGGGCTTGCCTTGTATGCATCAAGGCCCTAGGTTCAATCCCCAGCACCACCACCAAAGAAAAATAAAAATAAAAGCACTCTCCAAAGTTGCATCTGAGTTTCCTAGTGGCCAAAAAGGTTCAGTTGCAAGAACTTTTTTGTCCATAAGACAAAGTTCCCTGTTCCTGGTCCTAAGGCTTATTCCCCATCTGATCCAGGGATCCCACTCTGGCCCACCMCAAGGTAGGCTTGTTGGCCTCACCCTCAGTGGGGTCAGAGGAGGACCTAAAACCTTGGCTTTGCCCTGGCAGAATTCGTGCGAATGATGTCTCGCTGAGCCTGTGCAGAAGCTGCAGGAAGCAGACAGGACACGAGGACCTCAGCCTCTGCCTGCCAGCGGGTTCCTTGAAGCCCATGTGGACAGCTGCGCCCGGCTCCTGCCTGTGGGTGCCCTTGTCTGTCTTCGGCCCTCACCCCATGTTTCCCTGACAATAAAGCCTCTTCAAGCCAGGGAGATGGCTCTGACCCCTTGCTTGCTTATCTGGGGGGCCCCAGTGTTTGGCCCCGAAGAGCTGAGGCCTGGGCTGTCCTCTTGGGCCACAAGCCCCCTTGATTGTGAGCAGCAGGCGGGTGGGGACCCTCTCTCCCTCCTCTCTGGATCATGGGACTGCTTGTGCAGGTCAGATGTGTCTTCCGCTTATCCTGAGCGGGGCTCCAGCGGCAGGGCTCTTCCCAAGCTCCATCCCAGTACTCCTGCAGCAGCCTGGGGCAGGCCGTGCTCAGAGGCCCCTCCAGAGCTTGGCCTTTGGCTTCAGGAGTGAGCAAGCTCGCTGACCCCCGCCTTGCCCTTCCTCACAGCCCCAGTTCCTCTCAGCTCTGCCTCCGGGGGATCCACAGACGCACCTCACTTCAAGCCTGCCCCAGACTTCAAAGCCATACCTTCCCCACGGAGGCAGCTGAGAGGCCGGGCGTCTGCGTCCATTCCTGCTGCTGTAACAAAATCCCTTAGACGGGCACTTTATAAACAGCATGAAGGCAGCGCTCATGGTTCTGGAGGCTGGGAAGTCTGAGGTCAAAGCCCAGGCAGACTGGCTCCACCTGCGCCAGGATGGCGCCTGGGCACTGCTTCCTCTGGGAGTGCTGAACACTATATCCTCAGGTGGGGAAGAGCAGAAGGAGCAAAATGCCTACCCAGTCCCCTGCAGACCTAATCCCATCCACAAGGCAGAGGCTTCTGGGCTAATGGCCTCCTGCAGAGCCCTCCTCCTGATGCTGTTGCACAGGGGATTCAGTTTCAATGTGAGTTTGGAATCCACATTCCAAATCACAGCATCGCGCCTAAGTGTCTTGTTAGGAGTCCTGCAGCCCCACCGCCCTCTCTCTCCACGCTCTGCTGGATTGTTCTGTCCTACTTATCTTTGCCACATCCTGTTCAGGACCTGGCCATGACCCACCCCCTCATTGTGCCCAGGATAACCCAGCTCCATTGCCTGGACCAGAGGGCTCCAGGAGCATGAGGGACACACGGTGATGATGAAGGATCCAGGCCCAGGGACTCTAAAGCCACAATGCCAACCAGGGAGGGGCCCTGGGACAAGTCTCAGCCTAGGACAGGTCAGGTGAGGGTACACCCAGGACGGATCTCTGCCTCTTCCAGCTGCAGGAAAGACCTGGTCTGCTGGGAGGGAGGACAAGCCCTAACCTTCGATCAAACGCTGGGAGCTCTCAGCGCCCTGGTGCTTACACCAAGGCCCTGGGCCAGAGCAGGCAGCCAGCCACCAGTGCCCTGCCCAGCCCAGAGCACAGACGCTGAGGTGCCAGGACTGGCTGCAGCTGCCCTAGCACCACTCGCCTGGTAGATCCCAATTAATTCTTAATCCTCAATTAGGCAATCCCTCCTGCCAAGCTGGCGGCCTGGGGACAAGCGTGAGTTGCCCCGGCCAGTGGCTTCTCGGGGAGCCTCACAGCTGGCACAGATGGTATCACTGCCCAAGATGATGTCCCTGCAGGACTGGAGGTAGTGATGGATAGGAGTCAGGGGAGAGCACAGCCCACTCAGGCTCAGCTGGCAGGCCCTGCAGTTGGGCCACAGAGGTCCCTGGGGTGGTCTTCATCTGGTTCAGTATGTCTGCTGCACTGGAAGTACCCTCATACCTGCCTCCCTAAAGGGCTTTATTCCAGAAGGTCCCAACAGACAACAGCTGGAGCAAGGATCAGGGCCAGGCAAGGAACAGCAGGCAGGCTGACCAGGATGAGCCAAGTGCCCCTTCCCACTGGCCATTGCCAGCAAGAGCAGGCCCAAGCTATCCAACCTGATTTCCAGACTCTGTAAATTGAGAGGTTTACAATAAATCCACTGTAAGTATTTTAAGAGTAGCGTGCATTCAGTAGGTGTGTAAATCTTAAATGTACAGCTGAGTGTATGTCCCCTTGGGTGTAACTATCATCCAGGTCGCATATTATGTCCACTTGTTGTATTTAAGAATAGCGTCAGGCTCAGGGAATCATTGTGAAGATGGTGCAGACTTGCCTGTGTACCCCACATTTAGCATCCTCTATGTATTTATTCAGGGTTCTCCAGAGGAAGAGAACAAATAGGAAAGACAGACAGACATCTGTTTATCAATCAGTGGATGAATAGGTAGATAGAGAAAAAGACAGATATCCTGTGAGGGAGAGGATCATGGGTACCAAGCACAGTTAGACAGAATAAAAGGAACGAGTTTGATGTTCTGCAGCACATCAGCGTGGCTTTAGCTCATGCTAACCCACCATAGAGTCTAAGAAGATCCAACATAAAGAGATGAGGAGGAGCTGGGTGCAGGGTGTACACCTGTAATCCCAGCAACTCAGGAGGCTGAGACAAAAGGATTGCAAATTCAAGACCAGCCTCAGCAACTTAGTGAGGCCCTCAGCAAATAAAAAATAAATAAAAAATAAAATGGCCTGGGGATGTGGCTCAGTGGCTAAGTACCCTGTGTGTAATCCCTGATAGAAAAAGAGGAGAAAAAGAAATGAGGAGAGGAAAAACAATGTTAGACTGATTTAATCAGTGTGTGCCATATGCATTTGTGGAAATATCATGCTGAAATCCATTAATATGTTAATAACTATATGACAATCAAACAAAATAATTTGTATAAAAAAGGTTAGCTGGGGCTGGGGATGTGGCTCAAGCGGTAGCGCGCTCGCCTGGTATGCGTGCGACCCGGGTTCGATCCTCAGCACCACATACCAACAAAGATGTTGTGTCCGCTGAGAACTAAGAAAAAAATAAATGTTAAAATTCTCTCTCTCTCTCTCAATCTCTCTCTCTCTCTGTCCCCCTCTCTCTCTCACTCTCTCTTTAAAAAAAAAAAAAAAAAAAGGTTAGCTGGACTGGGGTTGTGGCTCAGTGGCAGAGCACTTGCCTAGCATGTGTGAGACACTGGGTTCAATCCCCAGCACCACATAAAAATAAACAAATAGATAAAGATATTGTGTCCATGTACAATTAAAAAATATTTTTTAAAAAAAGTTAGCTGCCCTCAGCTGCTCTTCAGCTGACTCCTGTAGCCCTCTGTCCTCCCCGACACTGGATATGTATTTGTTTCTTTTAGCACTTTCTTACTTCCTGGCCTTGCTAGACGCTCCAGGCTCCTCTTCTGTATTTCCTACCATTTTTACCTGGGTTCACATTTCTGGAGAATGGTATTAGAAACCAAGGTCTGGCCACAGCCCAAATTGCTTATTGCTTCTGGGCTGGGGGTGCTGCTTGCATCTCCACCTTCTCAGCTGATGGAGTGAGGAGACGTGGGTGTGTATACTACCCCGTTTATATATTCATGAAGATTTCTGAATGAAAGCCACTAGGATCTATATTAAGCTACACGGGAGTTCACACGATGCCTCCAACCCCGATCCATTTCACATGGATCCTTCAGCCTCTCCCCTGGCTTATCTGTAGCTTTTCATGCCAACGGGAGAAACCTGACTCCCACCACCCAGCTTCTATTCGCTGGGTTGTTCAACACGGGCGCACATGTGCACTGGTCTCGGCATCGTTGAGCTACAGGCCTGCAAATAACATTGTGTCAGCGAAACCCCCGTGCGCAGGTGCAGTTCCTCCTCCTTCAGCCTCCCAGATTCCACTCATTTCCAGGCCAGCCCCTGTTCCCCACCTGCCTTGGTGAGGTTCCCTTGTAATTTATAATTATTTGGTCATACTCCATACTGCATCCTGGGGTCCACCGACCTCCTAGATGATTCTTTAACATTCGCATGTATTAGAGTCCACTCACTGACAGATGCTTATTGTCTTCTCTTAACCATTACAGGCCCATATGCAATCGTTTCACTCCCTTAAAAAAAATGCCCTGACCTTTACCTATTCAATGGCACCTCCCCACTCCAGCGGGCAACCAGTGATCTGTTAACGTTCTGTACCATTTTCCCTTTTCCAGGATGTTCTACGATTGGAACCTTACAGTATGTGGCTTTATCAAACTGGTTCTCTCAATTACTATACAGTGGTAAAGTGCTTGCCTGAAATACACGAGGCTCTGGGTTCAAATCCAGACCCCCCCCACACACACACAGAAAGATTTATCTATGTCTTTTTATGGTGAAAAGGTGATTTCTTTTATGACTGAATAATAGTCCATTGTACGGCTATGTCACAGTTTATTGACCTGCTCATCCATCAAAGATGGGCTATAGTTTGAATCCTGCATGTCCTCCAAGGGTGTATGTGTAGAAGGCTTGATCTCCAGCCTGTGGTGCCATTGGGAATTGGTGGAACCTTCAGGAGCTGGGGCCTGGTGGGGGAAGAGATGCATCACTAGCACCTCCTCTTCCTCTCTGGTCACCTCCCAGCCATCCCGAGGTAAACCAGCCTCCTCTACCATGTAGATGTGCCCAGTCACAATGTACTTCTTCAACACCAAGCAACCATAGACTAAACCTCTGAGACCATGAGACAAAAATGAATCTTTTCTCCCTCAATGTTGATTTTCTCAGGTATTTGGTCATAGGATGTGAAGCTGACTAGCACAAAGGGCATCCAGGTTGCCTCCGGTTTTGGAGATTATAAAACTGCTACATACGTTCACATGTGGAGACATACATTTCCCAGTTGGTTGGTTAATAAGCAGGCACACAATTGCTGGATGAGAGTAAGAATGTGTTTAATCTTGGAAGAAACCACCGACTGTCTTCTCAGGTGGCTGAAGATAAACAAGAGTTCCATGGCTTCGAGTCCTTGCCAGCAATTGGTGTTGTAAGGATCTGGCGGAGCGTCGGAGAAAGAGACCACACAAGAGACTGGCTCCATGCAATTGGCAAAAGGGGATTTATTGGGGATCCATTCCAGCGCGCTGGGGCTCCGTGCTCACTCAAGAAGGGAGAGCAGCCCGGAGCCCAGAGCAGAGGTCAAGCAGAGCTTAAGTACACTTTCTGGAGAGGGCGGTGGGCTTTGCATATATCAGAACAAATCATCATGAGGCGCGGGAAAATTGAACAACAACTCTGAGACGTGATTAGCACATTCATTGGTGGGAACAGGGGAACAGGGCGGGCGGGGGTGATTGGTCATTCCTAAGCGGGGTACACATTCAAACTGATTGGTTCGGGCCCTGTGACAAACTGCACAGGGCCCTAAGCTAAATGGCCAGTAGGGCGTTGTCTTAACTCTCTCAGGAATTTCAGGTTCTGGGTGTAAACGAGGAACTTAATAATACCTAATCTTTTACATTTTAATTCAAGCTTTCCAGCTTAGAAACTTTACCCTTTCAGTGTGGTCAGACTCTGGACTTGGCCATTCTGACAAGTGTGCAGGGGTGTCTCCTGCTGTCCATCCATTCACTGTTCTATGAAACTTTTCAAATATTTAGTAAATTGAAATAGTTATTCAGAGATACAATGTTGGCCACTACTATAAAGTTTTAGATCATTGAAAAGCCCAACAAGGGGCTGGGGATGTGGCTCAAGCGGTAGCGCGCTCGCCTGGCATGCGTGCAGYCCGGGTTCGATCCTCAGCACCACATACCAACAAAGATGTTGTGTCCGCCGAGAACTAAAAAAAATAAATAAATATTAAAAATTCTCTCTCTCTCTCTCTCTCTCCCCTCTTACTCTCTCTTTAAAAAAGAAAAAGAAAAAGAAAAGCCCAACAAGCCCATATGCAGGCTGAACTGAGCCTGTGGACTCAAAAACAAATTTTTGTTGTCTTCGCTTCTGATTTGGAGGTTGTCATGCTGAACATTTCCAAAAATGCAGGAGAGCAGCTGAGAGGAGAGAGTGAAAGGGTAAAGTTTCTAAACTGGAAACCTTGAATTAAAATGTAAAAGATTAGGTATTATTAAGTTCCTCTGTTACATCCAGATTCCTGAGAGAGTTAAGACAACGCCCTACTGGCCATTTAGCCTAGGGCCCTGTACAGTTTGTCACAGGGCCCAAACCAATCAGTTTGAATGTGTACCCTGCTTGGGAGTGACCAATCACCCCCACCTGCCCTATTCCCGCCAATGAATGTGCTAATCACGTCTCAGAGTTGTTGTTCAATTTTCCCTCGCCTCATGATGATTTGTTCTGATGTATGCAAAGMCTCCCGCCCTCCCCAGAAAGTGTACTCAAGCTCTGCTTGAACCACTGCTCCGGGCTCTGGGCCGCTCTCCCTTCCTGAATGTTAAGGACTGAATGTCCCCTAAGTTCATATGCTAAAGCCCTAGTCCCCAATGTGGCTATATTGGAAATGGGCCTCTAAGGAAGTAATTAAAGTCAAAGAGATCACAGAATAGGAATCTCATGTCTTTACAAGAAGAGACATCAGAGATCACTCTCTCTTTGCACCAAGAAAAGGTCATGTGAGGACAGAGTCTTCAGAAACCCAAAATGATGGTGGCCTAAAATTGAACTTTCAATCTCCAGAACTCAGAAAATAAATTTTTGTTGTTTAAACCACCCACTGGGTGGTATTTGGTTTTGTCTATGTATTTATCAGCCCCAACAGACTAACATGAAGGACAATGGAGAAAACAGGAAGGACTAAGGTTTGGAACTGGAATACACTTGGTCGTTCCCACAGGAGTTCCTCTTCACCCCCTGCCATAGCCATCTCCTGCAGAGAGCAGGCTCCGTGCACTGGTGGGCAGTGGAAGATCTTGGGTGACACATTAACAATTCTTAACAGTAATATAATTTGAATATGCATTAGAGAACTATAAAGAACATATTGAGTACACGATTAAGTGGACATTATTGCTTTTCCTTTTTGAGGTTTTTAAAAAGTACTTGATTTAAAGGAAATATCAACTAGATAGCAAGGCCCCYGAGGGAGTTTCATGATTGGCTGAAGCTAGGGAAGCACAAGATGGGTGACAAGCTTGGCTTCCTCATGCTGTTATCTCTACTTCTCTTCCCACTTCCCAATTAACCCTCCAGGGAAAAAGTGACTTGTTCTTTAATCACTCCGGCTCAGGCGCTGGAACCTCTGAACTTCAAACAGGGCAGTTCCTCCACTTGGAATGCCACCCTCAGTCTCTGCTCACACTTTCACCCAGCCAAACGCCATCTCCACTGGGAAGATTTCTGTGATGTCACTAAGCAGTCCCCTTTAAATTCCAATGCACCCTGTCCTGGTCTCCACTGTGGCCAGTCTTACTACAATGTGTGTCTTTGCTTCCTTAGGTCCCCCAAAACAGGAGATCCCAGAGGCAGGAGGCCGTAGCTAGTTCATTTCTGTATCTTCTTTCAGGACAAGAGGGCATAGAGGAGGAAGTCGGAAAATGTTTGCCAGACAGATGAAGGAACACATGTCCTGAGGATGAAGGAAATCTGCTGAGAAGGGGACATGAGGATACATAAGGCCAGAGAGGTCTGGGGTGGAGCCGGCTTAGTGGGTGCAGGAGGGTCTGAGATCTAGGTTTGGGAGGAGTAGGATCTGAGAGGGAGGGAAAGGAAAAAGGGGAAATAAAACAAGCGCCTTATAAATATCCATTTAATCTACACAACCGCCCTATACGGATGGGGAAACTGAGGCATGCTAAGGCAAGCAACTTGCCAGGGGGAAGCCGCCAGTGGACGCAGTAGGTGCTCTTCTCCTCCTTCGGCCCAGAGCCTGGCACACGTAGGCATACCACTGAAGGGAACTGCCGAGGAAGAGGCGCGGGGCCTCTGGGGTGCGGGTTGAGGGGCCTTTGAGGCAGCTCTTGGACCTAACAGCAGCCTGGACCTGAGGACTGACCAATCCCGGGAAGAGCCAAAAGAGGCGGCGTTGGTGAAGGACCCGTTGCCATGGGAACAAAAGAAGGCCTGAGGCGGGCGCATGCGCAGACCAGAGAACGGGTGCTGAACCGGTGAAAGGTGACGTAAAAGCGCGCGGGGTGGGGCGCAGGGCTCGGAACGTCAAAGCCCCGCGTCCTTCGGCACCCGGAGAGAAGGGAAGGCACGCGCGACGGCGACGACCGCAGCTCCGGCAGGACCGAGACCGGGCGGTGCGGAGCGGACGCGCAAGGCGACGCGAGYAAGGCGGGAGGGCGGCGCCCGCGCCCGAGAAGACCCCCTCGTCACGAACCGCGGCTGCCGGGACCCCGGTCCCCGCTTCCGAGGCCCCGCCTCTCGGGTCTTGGGACTAATCGGATTGAGAGCGCGCCGGCCGGGGCCGCGAACTCGCCAATTGCGAAGGGAGGCAGCCACCGCCCAATCCGGAGCAGACAGGTGCGAGGTCCGGAAGGCACAAACCAATCGGCTGTAGTTGCGACCTGTGGGGGCAGGCCTCGGCCAATAAGGAAGCTCGAGTGACGTCTTTGAGCGCCAATAGGGAGTGACGAAGCTTGCGTGCCCGCCCACCCTTCCGGCCGGAGCTCTATTTACCAGGGGCGTGCAGCGCGTCTGCCAATCGGAGCGCGGCTGAGCGGCCCGGCAGCCAACCCCGGAGGAGCGGCCGGCTGGCGTCCGCCGCACCCAGGAGTTGGGGATGTCCTACAAACCCATCGCTCCCGCCCCCAGCAGCACCCCCGGCTCCAGCACSCCTGGGCCAGGCACCCCGGTACCTACAGGTGAGGATCCAGCTCCACCCCTGCTCGCCTACCGGGGCTGTCGAGGTCTTGAAGAGAAGACGGCCTGAGTTCTACAATACTGGGCCTGCCGCCTATAGCCTCGCTGAGCCTCAGTTTGCTGGCCTGTGAAGTGGGCGTGGTCACGTAAGGGCTTGTAGGTGGAGCGCAGGGGGAGGGGTGTGTTCCTGAAGTTGATCTGCCTGGAATGAAGCGTCCCTTTGGAGGGAATCGGGCGAACCCGGTCCGGGGTTTGGAAAGCTGGGAGGCGTCGTTCCTGTCCCCGCGCTGACCTCTTACTCGCACCTGTTGCAGCCGGAAGTGTTCCATCGCCGTCGGGCTCAGTGCCAGGAGCCGCTGCCCCTTTCAGACCACTCTTTAATGACTTTGGACCTCCCTCCATGGGCTATGTGCAGGTGAGTGTGGCCAAATGCTTGTTTATGGATGAGGACTGGAGGCCTACCCGGGGCCTGAGCTCACTGCCCTGTTCTCTTTTGATATAGACGATGAAGCCACCTGGTACCCAGGGCTCTCAGAGCACCTACACGGACCTGCTATCCGTCATAGAGGAGATGGGTAAAGAGATTCGGCCCACCTATGCTGGGAGCAAGAGCGCCATGGAGCGCCTGAAAAGAGGTAAGTGAGGCCAGGCCCACCCTGTCAAGACGGCAGTCACTGGATAGTCCCTCATCGTTAGGGAAGGAACGACATCTGGAGTCAGTACAGGACACTTGAGCCAAGTATCACTAACCAGAGAGGTGTTTGAATTGAATTGAAATTGAGTCAATTTCTAGGAAAGTGCCTGGAAATTTGTTTCAACAGGGTTAATTTGAGGATTAGCCAAACCTGTAATCTCATCCAGCCCCTCCTTAGATTTAAGCTTCTCTGGCTGAAACAAAAGGGGGTGGGGAGGGAGGGGGGTCTTCCGGAGGGTGGGGTGGGGCTGTGGGGAGCCACTGAGATCCTGTATGTTACCTCTGCATCCCCACTCATCCCACCCCAGGCATCATCCATGCCCGGGCCCTGGTCAGAGAGTGCCTGGCAGAGACAGAGAGAAACGCTCGCACGTAACAGGAAGCACCTTGGCCTCAGCGTCTGGACCTTTCCGGCCACTGCAGAGCACCTGCTTCTCCCTGGCCTTTGCCCCAAGTTGCACCTCCTATCCTGGGCTTCCTGTCTTGTCCCTTGGTGGGTGCCCTCCAGGAACCAGGGAGCGACTTTCACTCCAGTGGGCAACGCTAACTGGGCTCCTCCCCCTGCAAGAGTTAGCTGCCAGGTCACTGTGAGTCCCACCCACGACCTGCCAGCAGCAGTGTTGGTCCCACTGGAGCGTTCTCCTTTCTTGGCCCCCATTACTCTGCACTTACTTCTCACCACTTTGTCCCAGGCCTTCTCTTCCAGAAGGAGCTTAGAAGGCCTGTCACCTCCCTGCCTTGTCTCTGGGGCCATATTGACTCTTTTCTCAGTGTATCTTTTGCTAAATATGCCCTTTTTATATAAATAAAAAGATGATTTGGAGTTGTTCTCTCAGCTTAGCCTTTCTGGGTCTTGTTCCTCTGCTAAGCCTGGGTGGGCCAGGCAGAAGGAGGGCAAAGAGTGGTCCAGGAATGAGAAGGCTGACTGAAGCTGTCTTTGCCTGCCTCTGATGTCCACTGACCTTGGAGTGGGAACTGCCACTCCAGGCCCTCTGCTTTCCCAGCTGTGAGTAGTGGAAAGGGCAGAGCTCCAGTAGCCAGAGCCCTGCCTGCCTGCCTGCCTGCCTGCCTGCCTACCTGCCTACCTGCCTGCCTCTGTGCTGTGCCACCAGGGGGCGGCAGGGGGGGGGAGGGGGGGGGCTGGCTGCCTGCACAGCTGGAGGCACTGATGGCCAGAGGGCTCTTCCTCTGGATTGGTAGTGATGCCTGGCAGGGTGGAAATGCCAGTTCACTTAAGCCACTCCCTTACTTGCCTTAATGCCCTACCCCACCTCAACTCTGACTTGGCCCTGGAAGACTGAATACACCCAGTCTGTGGCTCTTCAGGCAGCATAATGCTTCCCTCCCCCTACACTTTGGCAGCAGAGTCAAGGGGAGAGACCTGACTAGGTGCTGCTATCCACTGCCCCAGTTCCTTTATCCAGGCTCCGTGTGGTCCTGTGAGCTAGCCCTCAGTGTCTCAGCCTTCCTCAGGGTCTAGGTGGCATGTTGGCTAGACTTGTGAACCCAGAAGCATGGGGTGCCATTAAGGGACTGGCCCAGAGATTGACAAAGCCTTCTGCCTGAATGTGTAGTTGAGTGACTTGGGGGCCTGAGGCCCTGGAACCCCAGCCCTAGGTGGAATTAGAGCCACCAGCTTCTGCTTAGACCTTGCTGGGGAAGCATTTCCCTAACCGTGGGTCCCAAGTTCCAGAGGATGAGGAGCTGAGGAGGACTGGCCTGAGACCCAGGCATATCAAACTCCACCCAGAGGTGCACACAGGAGGGCTGGGCCAGGGTGCAAATAGGAACAMGAGTCTTTGGGGACCCCAAACAGCCCAGAAGTAATAAAAAGCGCCAGCATTTGGGGAACAGCCACTTACCCCGCTGTGGGACCTGCCCTTCGCAGCCGCGGGCGGGACTGTCCCGACCCCGCAGGGGTGGGGAGGATCCGCCGAGCCCAGGAAGGGGGCGGGGCGGGGCAGCCGCAGTGACGCGGCGGGGAGGGACGGCAGGGGCGCCGGCGGGCGGACCGGGAAAAAGGTCGGGGCCATGGGACGGCGTTTCGCCTCCAGAAGGTCCGGCCTCTGCYGCAACCCGAGACCGGGGTTGTGCAGGGTCCGGGCTCAGACCCGCGGGGCGGCTGCCCCTGCCCGGGCCGGGTGAGGGGCGCCGGCCCTAAGCTAGAGGTGAGCGAGGACGTCGGCCAGCGGGCGGGCCAAGAGCACGGCGGGGAACTGGTGCGCCCGGGCTGAGGGAAGTGGGGACGACCGGGCCTCTCGCGGGCTCGCTGGGTGCGAGATGGAAGTGGGAGGGGTGTCTGCAGGGGAACCGGGGCGCCCGGCCCGGGTGCAGGTGGACGGAGCGGGTCCCCAGGGCCGAGGCCTGTGGGATACCAGTTGACCACTCTTGCCCCGGCCTGAGGAGGGGCTACCCCTGGGGGACGATGATAGCGTGGCCGATAGAGTGGAGAGTCGATGCGGGCCGGGGGTACCAGAAGGATGCTGGGCAGCAGAGGTCGAGGATCCGGCCGCCGGCCGAGGTGGGGAAGGCTGGTCTGGGGGGCGAAGGGTTATCCGTCCTGGAAGGTAGGCTCGGGTGCGGGGGGTGGGGAACACTGGCCGGGATGCGGGGCGCATTGGGGTTGCTCCGCAGAGAAACACCCGGGGACAAGGATCTAGGTGGACATCCAGGAATGGGGGACAACGGACCAAGTGGACTCCCGGGAAAAGGGTGAAGGGGGCGGGTCCCCAAGGGGCCAGTTGTGGAAGGTGGGCCCGTAAGTAGGGACCCGGGGACTCCTACGGGTGCGGCCCTGAGGGATGCTGTTTTCTTGGGGGCTCTGGATGTGGCCCAAGTGGAGACCTGAGGCTGGCCCTGCGGCCTGGGATGTAGCCCGCCGCTCTGGGGGGCCCGCGTCAGCGCGCGGTTGCCATGGAGACGGGCGGGCGGGGGGCGGGGGCTGCATGGAAAAGAGGTCAGCGCTCAGCCTCGCTGCGGCTCCCGGCCCTGGCGGCGCGGGCGCGCAGCTCTGGGCTCGCCTCTGCCTTCCCGGTGGCGGGCCCGGGAATGGGGTCCCGAGGCTCGGGCCCCTCGGCCGGCGCGCAGGGCTCAGGGCCGCGCGCCGCCGCCCCCCACTGACGGCCGCGCCGTGCCTGCGCCAGGAGCAGAGGAGGCCGCGCGCGGCCAGCTGGGCGCCTTCAGGATGCTCATCAAGGAGTACCACATCCTGCTGCCCATGAGCCTGGACGAGTACCAGGTGGCTCAGCTCTACATGATCCAGGTGAGGGCCGTGGGGAGGGGGAGACCAGGGGGCCATACATCGCGATGGGTAACGGTGGGAGTGCGCAGGCCGCGACTGGGACAAGGGGTTTAGCCCAGCTCCATCCCCGCCAGACTTGCACCTTGACTGGGAAGGGTTCAGAGCCCAGAAGAGGAAGGTCCTCTTCCGATGCCGGGAGGGGGGGGGGGTCGGGTAAATGGACAGGACGGTGAGTGGTGTCTCCCACCCTCTAAGTGCCCAGCCTGCTCAACCCATTCGAGCTCCTTTAATCCTCCTCAGAATCTAATCCCATGGGGGAAGGGAAAGGAGCCATGAGGAGGCAATGGGGGGTCTACATGGAAGAGAAGGCAGGAAGGGGTTCTAGAGAGGGTACCTCCCTAACTGTGACAGGGACTGGCAGGCAGGGATGGAGTGTGAGGGTGGGATCTGGGCTTTGGCTGTGAGGAGGGTGGGCCTGGACAGGGAGAAGATGGTACCAGGCTCAAGGGATCTGTGTTCCAAGTCTGTTCCCCAGCACTGTGGGATCAGAGTCTAAGGGGGCAAGGCAGCCAGGATCCAGCTCAGCCTGCTGAGCCGCCAATTTGGGTTCTACAACTATAAAAGAGCAGGATCTGGGGTCTCAAGCCTTGAGGGGTGTGGCAGGAACTGGGATTCTGGTCTCCGAGAGGAGGGGACCAAGGTCAGGTCCTCTGAGAGGTGGAGGCCACTTTTCCAGCCAGCCTGGCCTCCTTGCCACTCCTTGAGCAGGAAGAGCATGTTTGACCTCAGAGCTTGCCTCGTCCCCCCTGCCTCAAATACTTCCCCCAGCCCATAGCTGCAGAGCACCCCCCATCTCAGATCATGTTCAAGTGGTGGTCACTGCCCCCTAGCAAGGCCTCCCTTGACCCTCATATCAACATTGCAGCCCCAACTCTTGGTCCCTCTCATGCTTTCTGTTTCCCATCCTGCTTGTTCCACATGGGCAGGGGTCTTGAGTTTGTTCATCAGTAGACCCCAACTGATCCCAAACAATGAATGGCTGTTTTGAATGCTGGGTTGCAGAACCCTGTGGGGGACTGGGCAGTGCCACTGATCATGATCATGAACCCAGGAAGCTGCTGGGGGCCAGGGTCAGGTTGCAGAGAGTTGGAAAGACTATGCAGGGGGTCAGAACTGAGTTGGGGTCCCCACCCAGGAGCAGGGCCAAGACTGAGTCTCCAATTCTGCTCTGTCCTGGCTGCAGAAAAAGAGTCGGGAGGAGTCCAGTGGTGAGGGCAGCGGTGTGGAGATCCTGGCCAACCGGCCCTACACTGATGGGCCCGGGGGGAGCGGGCAGTACACACACAAAGTGTACCATGTAGGCTCCCACATCCCAGGCTGGTTCCGGGCACTGCTGCCCAAGGCCGCCCTGCAGGTAGAGGAGGAGTCTTGGAATGCATACCCCTACACCCGAACCCGGTGAGTGGACAAGGCACACAGGCTGGGGTCAACAGGGAACAGCCCTGTGGACTCAGTAACGACCCTCACCCTGGCTTCTGCCCAGGTATACCTGCCCCTTCGTGGAGAAATTCTCCATTGAAATAGAGACCTATTACCTCCCTGATGGGGGGCAGCAGCCAAACGTCTTCAACCTAAGTGGAGCTGAGAGGAGACAGCGGATCCTCGGTGAGGCTTGGAGCCCCTCTTAGCCCCGCTGCCACCTCAATTTCCAGTCTCTTGACAAGTGCAAGTTTTCTCTGGGCCTTGGCTTCCCGATTGTGAAAGGCTGTGATCGTGATCCTAATCCCTGGGGAAGGCGGGGGTGGCTTGAAGGGGCTGGCTCGGCTCAGTGCTCACTGAACCCCCTCAGACACCATCGACATTGTGCGAGATGCAGTGGCTCCAGGTGAATACAAAGCTGAAGAGGACCCCCGGCTGTACCGATCAGTCAAAACAGGCCGAGGGCCACTGACTGATGACTGGGCGCGGACAGCCGCGAAGACGGGACCCCTCATGTGTGCCTACAAGCTGTGCAAGGTGGAGTTCCGATACTGGGGCATGCAGGCCAAGATCGAGCAGTTCATCCATGATGTTGGTGAGCACTCGCCTGAGGGAAGTTCTGCTTACCCAGCATGCACCAGGCCCCATGTTTGGGGGATGCTGTCATCTACTGGGGACAAAAAACCATGGGAGCATCATTTCCATTTGAGATGGAACACTGAGGTAGGCGGAGGTTGGGGGTGACAGCACAGCCGAGGAAAGGGGTCAGGGGAGCCTGTCTTGAATACCGGAGTCAGGTGCTGTGGCACATGCCTATAATCTCAGTGGCTCAAGAGACCGAAGTAGGAGGATCATGAGTTCAAAGCCAGCTTCAGCATCTTAGCAAGGCCCTAAGCAACTCAAGAGACCCTGTTTCAAATAAAATATTAAAAAAGGACTGGGGATGTGGCTCAGTGGTTAAGCACCCCTGGGTTCAATCAATCCCTAGTACCAAAACAAAAGTCAGGAGGGCAAGGAGCTGGTGACATGGTCTGACATCTATGCCATCTCTGACAATCAAATATGCTTCTTTAATGAAGATTTTAAGATTCTGTGTTGTCCTGTGAGTCAAGCAAGACTTAGAGAATCTCAGGAGGATTGCCAGCCCATTCTCTTTGGGGTGCCCTCCCACCCCCAGCTCCCAGAATCCCAGCTTGTGGTCCTGGCATCCAGGAACCATTAATCCATACCTGTAAACCCAAGCCTCCAACTCCCCCACCTCGCCTCCTAGGTCTTGGGGTGGGCCATCTGCACGTAGAGGGCCTTCCCTGAGTGGAGGAGTCCAGTAGCTTGCGTTCTGCTCCACTTCTGACCCCCATGGCCCCTTCAGCAAGCCACTGGCTMTCTCAGCACCTTGATGTTCCCTTCTGTAAGTGAGGAAGAGGTTGGACCAGAAGATAAGAACTAATACTGACTGTTCACAGCATACCAGATCCAGTGCGTCTGAGGTCTCCTTTGACATCCCCAGCAGCCTCCGATGCAAGGACTGTTGGTCCCATTTCACAGATGAGGCAATTTAACTCAGAGCAATACAGATCCCCTTTCTTACATTTAGAAAAATACCAAAAAGCACAGATAGGAAAATTAAAATCACCCACATAGAACCACTATTAATAGTGGTTAAGGTTCTGATGTATTTCCTTCCAGAAGTTTATAAATCCAATCATTATTTTATTTCCTAGATATTTAAGAGTTTCCAACTTTATTCCTCTGCTTAAAATGAATATATCCCAGAAGGCCTGGGGATGTGGCTCAAGTGGTAGCGTGCTGGCCTGGCATGCACGAGGCACTGGGTTCGATCTTCAGCACCACATAAAAATGTTGTGTCCACCTAAAATTAAAAAAGAAAAAAAGAAAGAAAATATCCTAGAATGGATATCATCTTTCACCACAGGCTTCATGGAGTGCCAACTCTCCCACCTTCATTAACTGTCAACAATTTCATTAGCTGTGAACACCTTAATTAACTGTTAACTCATTGGAAGTCAGCAGGAAGCCAGCTAAGCAAGAATAAGCATTGGTCCTATCTGCTGGAGGGACAGGGGTCAGTGATCAGAGATAGGGTATCCAGAGACCTAGAGGAGGCAGTTGGGCAGGGAGGGAGGTGGAGTAGGAAGACAAATGGCCCACTTTCCATGCCTGTCCCCTGGATAATACTGGCTCTGCCCTACTTTGTGGCTCTTGGTGAGTGGTATTTCCAGGAGAGCCATTGCCCAACCTCAAACCCTGGGCATGTGGCTGCAGTGCCAGGGTTGGGGAGCATTTTTCTGATGCCTGGGCACCTGTAGGTCTGCGAAGGGTGATGCTGCGGGCCCACCGCCAAGCCTGGTGCTGGCAGGACGAGTGGACAGAGCTGAGCATGGCTGACATCCGGGCACTGGAGGAGGAGACCGCCCGCATGCTGGCCCAGCGCATGGCCAAATGCAACACCGGCAGTGAGGGGCCAGAGGCCCAGCCCCCTGGGAAACCCAACACTGAGAACCGGTCGGGGGCCAGCAGTACAGGCACCTCAGATGGGCCAGAGGCCCCTGCTGGCCCTGATGCCTCACCTGATGCCAGTTTTGGGAAGCAGTGGTCCTCATCCTCCCGTTCCTCCTACTCATCCCAACATGGAGGTGAGGCTGGGGCCCAGGGGCCAGTTTGGGCGGGAAGCCACCCTCTCCAGGTGGGACTCCCAGGTTGAAGCTGTGCTGGCCCTTCAGGGGGCGTGTCTCCCCAGAGCTTATCTGAGTGGCGCATGCAGAACATCGCCCGAGACTCTGAGAACAGCTCCGAGGACGAGTTCTTTGATGCCCATGGTCAGCACTGAGGCCCTGCTGGGGGCATGGGGGTGGGCACTGAGGCCCTGCTAGGGGAAGGGGGTCGGCACTGAGGCCCTGCTGGGGCTGGGGCTGAGCAGCCCCTCTCACCCCCACCCAGTGACACATCCCCCTGTCCCCTCAGAAGGCTTCTCGGACAGTGATGAGGTCTTCCCCAAGGAAATGACCAAGTGGAACTCAAATGACTTCATTGATGCCTTTGCCTCCCCAACTGAAGCAGAGGGGACACCAGGTAAACACCCCACCCCAGGCTACCAGCCAACAGCATCTGTATCCAGCAGAGACTCAGAACAACCAAGTCCTGAGTTTAATGGGGTCCTAAGAGTAATGTCAATCTAGAGAGGTGCTTATGACTGCTCAGATGGAAATGAGTAGATACTGGGTGGAAGGTGGACTCAGCCCAGAGAGCACAGTGGAGGATTCACTGTGAGCACAGAAGGCTTCCATCTCTATGTGGAGCTCAGGTCTACACTAGGTTTTGAAGGACTGGACTAGAGCTACCCAGCAGAACTGTCTATGACAATGGAAATGTTCTAGATCCGTGCTGGCCTTTGAAATGTGGCCATTGTGACCGAGGAACTGAACTTTTTCTCATTTTAATTCACATACATGTAAATAGCCAGGCTAGTGGCTACCATGTTGGACAGGATAGGATTAGAAGTTTTACAGGCTAACAGGCATTGTGTAGACAGGCATCCCCCGCAAGCAGGACCAGCATAAAGAAAAGCCTAGAACGTGAAATGGCCTGGGAGAGTAGGGGGAAAGGAAGAGGAGGGTGGGGGGCCTCAGGCAGCACCAGAGCTAGGACCTGAAGGGCCAGGAGAGGGGATCCCAACAGTCCCTGGGCCCCGCTCACTGGCTTTCCTCTGCCCTACAGACCCTGGAGTCGAGGCAACTAAAGACATCGAGGACAGGGCGCGAGTACCCAGGGACTCTGAGGTGAGAACATCAGCCATGCCATGCTGAAGTTTGTTCACTCCTGGCCCAACTATGGCTCTGACTCCCCACCGCCCATTACACCCAACAGGGCCCAGATGGAGCTGGGGACCTCGGGGCTGAGGCATGCGCAGTCCATGCCCTCTTCCTCATCCTGCACAGTGGCAACATCCTGGACTCTGGCCCGGGGGATGCCAACTCCAAGCAGGCCGACGTGCAGACGCTGAGCTCCAGCTTCGAGGCCGTCACCCGCATCCACTTCCCTGAGGCCCTGGGCCACGTGGCCCTGCGACTGGTGCCCTGCCCACCCATCTGTGCCGCCGCCTATGCCCTTGTCTCCAAGTATTGGCCAGGGGTAGAAGGGCAGGGGACACACAGTGTCCCCAAGGTGCAGATAGCTACCTGGGGGTTCCTAGGATCAGGGTGGTCCCCTGGAGGGGGGGAGAAAAACTAGACCCCTGGTTTCAGTCCTGGTCTTGGCTGGATCATTTCTGATCAATAGCACCATCTCAGATGCCTCGAATCTGACACCTCAGGGTGCTGGGACTTGCCAGTGAGCCTGGACTTGCCAGTGAGCCCAGAGAACTTGGGTGGCAGTGGTAAGGCTGGCCTTCCACCCACCCACCACACCCTTTCCTCTTGCAGCCTGAGCCCCTACAGCCATGATGGTGACAGCCTGTCCCGCTCCCAGGACCACATTCCACTGGCTGCCCTGCCACTGCTGGCCACCTCATCTTCCCGCTACCAGGGCGCTGTGGCCACTGTCATTGCCCGCACCAACCAGGCCTACGCAGCTTTCCTGCGCTCATCTGAGGGTGCTGGCTTCTGTGGGCAGGTCAGGGCTTCGGCCAAGAAGCAAGCCATCTGCTGCCCTCCACTGCCACACTGTTTGCTGCCAGGTCTGGACAGTGACAGGACCTCTCAATGGTACCCACGCTTTCACCCAGGTGGTGCTGATTGGAGACGGCGTTGGTGGCATCCTGGGCTTTGATGCGCTCTGCCACAGTGCCAACGTGGGCACAGGGAGTCGGGGCAGCAGCCGCCGTGGGAGCATGGTCAGTGTGGCCAAACCCAGCCTCCTCAGGAGGGGGGTGTCTCTCTCCATCTCTAGGTCTCTGCCCCTGGAGTACGTCTTTCTGCATGTGGGCAGGTCCCCAGCTGCCCCTTAAGTTTGTGTTTCCTTTGGGACTCTGCCCTACCCACTCCCATGCCTCTTTCTTTACTTCCAAATTGAGTAGAAATCTGAGGGTCTCAGACTAAGGATGCTTCTGTCCTCTGTGCCATCTAGAACAACGAGCTGCTCTCTCCAGAGGTCGGCCCAGCACGAGACCCACTGGCAGATGGGGCAGAGACACTAGGCCGTGCCAGTCCGGAACCCTCAGCTCTGCTTGCCCAGCGCACCCCCAGCGACATGGCCAGTTCTGAGCCTGAGGGCTCTCAGAACAGGTGACATCCCTGCCCTATCACGCCCCCCCCCCCAGGTAGGAGACATCAGAAGCAGCAGCACTAAGTACCCCTTCTCCCATAGCCTGCAGGCGGTCCCTGCACTCACCTCCTCTGGGGAGCCCCGGCGGCCTAGCACAGCCTCCTGCCCACCCGCTGCCAGTTCTGAGGCTCCTGAGGGGCCCACCAATGCTGCCCGCCTGGACTTCAAGGTCTCTGGCTTCTTCCTCTTCGGCTCCCCACTGGGCCTGGTGCTGGCTCTACGCAAGACTGTGATGCCCGCCTTGGAGGGTGAGTCCTCAGGGTGTGGGTCACTCCTCATCTTTCATGTGCTCCTTCCCTGTCTCCCATGATTGTCCTTCTCCCTGTGCAAATGAAGCGCCTGGCTAGAGAAGGGGAAATGAAGGCCCAGAAAGAAAGACTTGAGAAGCCGTTTCCCGAAGTGGAGGAACCGCATAGCCAGGAGATGCTCTGTGGGACGGGGAAATGAAGGCTCTGGTTTCCCTTAGGCAAGAGGCCAGTGTCACTTTAAGCAGGACTCTAATGACTTCCAGAGAATGCATTTTGGGAAGTGCCGACTCAGGGTCACACAGTATGTCTGCCCCCTGCCTCCCGGGATGCCCGGCTGAACCCCTGTCCGCCTTCTCTGTCTTCTGGGTATCCAGTGGCCCAGATGCGCCCAGCCTGTGAGCAGATCTACAACCTCTTCCATGCGGCTGACCCCTGTGCTTCCCGCCTGGAGCCCCTGCTGGCCCCCAAGTTCCAGGCCATTGCCCCACTGGCTGTGCCGCGCTACCAGAAGTTCCCCCTGGGAGATGGCTCATCTCTGCTGCTGGGTATGACCCCAACCAAGATAAAGGGGAGAGGGGAGGCACCAAAAGGTAGTAAGAAACATGAGGTGGCTCCGACATCATGGGTCCCCTCTCCTGTTACCACTCCCAGGACCAGGGAGCCCTCCCCTGGCCACAGAAGATCTGGATTCCCAGGACCTTCTGACCTGTGCCAAGTGTGGGGGRCAGTGGCAGGGACTAAGCTAGGGAAAAGGAAGAAGGACACTGGCATCCCATGTCTCAGAGGACCAGTGTATATGTGGCTGCTGTGTCTGGGGGGCTCCATGTGACTTGTGTTCATGAAGTCTGGATGTAATTGGGTACCACTGATCCCACAAGACAAGTGTCATCGGCACAGGGAGGTTTTTCTTGTTTTTGTCTTTTAATTGGGGGAGTGGTGACACATTCTGGCAGGAATGTCGCTGACTGCTGGGGTAAATCTTAAGAGACAGTGACTCCCTCTGCTTCTCTTCCTCCCAGATATAGGACAGGCCATCCTCAGTTAAGACCTGAGCAGGGAGGCTGGTCGGGAAGGTGGTGGAGGGACAGGGGCTGTGCTACCCTGGGAGAGAAGACAGGAGGGCAGCCTGGCCTCGCCTGCTGCTGAGGTTGGCCCTCCTCCCTCAGCGGACACCCTACAGACCCATTCGGGCCTCTTCCTGGAAGAGCTAGAGATGATGGTGCCCTCAACACCCACCTCGGCCAGCGGCGCATTCTGGAAGGGCAGTGAGTTAGGCACCGAGCCAGCGGCCCAGCCAGCAGCACCCAGCACCACCAGCGAGGTGGTTCGGAGTAAGCCACCCGCGGCTGACCTGGGCGGTGCAGACTGCTCACAGAATAATCAACCCAGCATTTGCCCTGGACCCCCTCCCCCAGCACTCACATGAACTTGGCAGACAGCAGGGTTGGTGGAAAGGAGGGAGGGAAGAGCACCCAGGGCCCGGGCAGGTGAGCCCTGGGCTCAGGCCACCCTGACTCACTGCCCGCCGTGGCCCTACAGTCCTGGAGCGCTGGTGGGGGACCAAGCGGATCGACTACTCGCTGTACTGCCCCGAGGCGCTCACGGCCTTTCCCACAGTCACGCTGCCMCACCTCTTCCACGCCAGCTACTGGGAGTCGGCTGACGTTGTGGCCTTCATCCTGCGCCAGGTGAGTGGACCCAGGCATCTGGGACACGAGATGGGACGGCAGAAGATGGGGCGCTTAGGGCTTGGGGAAGGCCACTAGTCCCGTCCCCCATTCATGTGGCCTTGCACCTTGTCCTGTGCAGGTAATTGAGAAGGAGCGGCCACAGCTGGCAGAGTGTGAGGAGCCATCCATCTACAGCCCTGCTTTCCCCAGGGAGAAGTGGCAGCGCAAACGCACGCAGGTCAAGATCCGGGTAAGTGCCCACCCCCACTCCATTGGCTCTCTCTACAGCATCCCCGCCCCCAAGCTCCTGCCCCTCAGAGCCCAGACCKCTTTCTTGGTCTGGCCACACCCCATGGCCCTGGCCCCACCTCCTCATTGCCTTGGCCACGCCCCTGGGAACCTGGTCTCCTGGTCGCACTCACCCACTACAGGCCTTATCTGCATTCCACCCTTAGAACCTCAGACCGGATCCCAGAGATGCGCAGATCCCAAGGGCCTTGCTTTTCTCCCACAATGGCCCCGCCTCCTCCAGTCCCCACCCCCAGTGCGGATGAGAACCCACACACCCAGCTCCTCTGCCCCACATTTCCCGCCACTAGCTCAAACCTTCTCCTCCCACCAGAACGTCACTTCCAACCACCGGGCCAGCGACACGGTAGTGTGTGAGGGCCGACCCCAGGTGCTGAACGGGCGCTTCATGTATGGGCCCTTGGACGTGGTCACGCTCACTGGAGAGAAGGTCAGGACCCGGAGACCCTGGCCCCGGGTATTTTCGGTCAATCTCCTGTCTCTGGAACAACTCCTGACCTGCCAAGGGTCAAGCCCCCAGCGCCACCCACCCAGCCTCCTCTACTCGGGGTCTCCAGGGGCTCTGCCCCATGGACCTCCCACCCCTCTCCTCCCAGGTGGATGTCTATGTCATGACACAACCGCTGTCCGGCAAGTGGATCCACTTCGGCACCGAAGTCACCAACAGCTCGGGCCGCCTCACCTTCCCGGTGCCCTCCGAGCGTGCGCTGGGTATTGGTGTCTACCCTGTGCGCATGGTGGTCAGGTGAGCACCAGGCAGGCTGGGCCTCTGTGGGGCTGGGCCACGCCAGGCCTTGTGCACACCACTCACGCCCCCCTGGGCCACAGGGGCGACCACACTTATGCCGAGTGCTGCCTGACGGTGGTGGCCCGCGGCACGGAGGCCGTGGTCTTCAGCATCGACGGCTCCTTCACCGCCAGCGTTTCCATCATGGGCAGCGACCCCAAGGTGCGCGCTGGCGCTGTGGATGTGGTCAGGTAGGCGCTGCCACCCTGCTCCTGGCAGTGATGAGCCCCCATTCTCCTGCCTGTGGAGCTGACCGACCCCTACCCCACAGGCACTGGCAAGACGCGGGCTACCTGATTGTGTACGTAACCGGGCGGCCCGATATGCAGAAGCACCGCGTGGTGGCCTGGCTGTCGCAACACAATTTCCCCCACGGCGTTGTTTCTTTCTGCGATGGCCTCACGCATGACCCCCTGCGCCAGAAGGCCATGTTTCTGCAGAGCCTGGTGCAGGAGGTGTGGTAGCTGGGGAGGGTTCCAACCTCATCCCAGCCCCAGACAGGACAGGAGAGGCCCATCTGTCCCCTCCAAAGGCCCCACTGAAAGACTGGAGAGGTCTTTGTGGTCCTGCCCTAGAGGTCCTAGGGGCCCCTATCCTAATTCTGCTGGTCCCACCCATCAGTGACTAGGACCATAGGTTCCCGCCCCCCCATAGCCCCGCCCATATACCCACCGGACACACCATTCCCCACCCCTCATTCTCCCCAGAGGCCAACTGCTCTCTCCTACCACAGGTGGAACTGAACATTGTAGCTGGCTACGGGTCCCCCAAAGATGTGGCTGTGTACGCAGCACTGGGCCTGTCCCCCAGCCAGACCTATATTGTGGGCCGTGCTGTCAGGAAGCTGCAGGCGCAGTGCCAGGTGAGGGTGAAGAGAAGAGAGGTACAGGACCCCTGTCGGGGGACAGGAGCCAGGGCCAGGCTGAAGGCCACCACTGTGTTAAGATGCACGTGGGTGAACTGGGAGGCCTCGCTAGCCTCAGGGATCCCTAGTTCCTCTGCAGCAGGGACCATGAGCAGCCTAGAACTGCGGGGTGCCCGACCAGGCATGCTGACCTGGGCTGGAGTGTGCCTGAGACCTGCCACGGCCTTGGACATGGGCCTTGACCTTTCTGAGCCTGTAAATTGGAACTGATAGCAGCATGACCTCATCAGCTTATCATGAAGATGATGTCCTTTAGTGCACATCAGTGAGCTCTGGGCTGGGCACAAAGCAGGTGACTGCTAAAGTTAGTTGGGACTATTTCCCCCAAGAATCTATCTTACAGGTGAGCCAGGCCCAAAGAGGGGCAGAGGTGCAGCCTGGGGACACTATCTACCTGGAGAAGGCTCCAAGTTAGGCTGAGCAGGGCTAGCACTGCCCAGCCCCCCACTTGCTATAGGGGCCTGTGAAGGACAGGGAAGGGCAAGGTGTGGGCCCAAGGCTGGCTGGCTCATCCCTACCCACTTCTACCCACAGTTCCTTTCGGATGGCTACGTAGCCCACCTGGGCCAACTGGAGGCAGGCTCCCACTCTCACGCCCCCTCAGGACCCCCTCGAACTGCCTTGGCCAAGAGCAGCTATGGGGTGGCTGCCCCTGTGGACTTCCTCCGCAAGCAGAGCCAGTTGCTTCGCTCCAGGGGCCCCAGCCAAGCAGAACGTGAGGGCCCAGGAACACCACCCACCACCCTGGCCCGGGGCAAAGCACGAAGCATCAGCCTCAAGTTGGACAGTGAGGAGTGAGGCCCACTGTGGCTGGACCTGGATTATTTACTGATACTTGAGGGGCCCAAGTGGCTGTGGGGGGGAGGCCAGGGGCCTAGACTCTGGCCCCAGCCCTTGGCTTCCCCAGCCCCTTGCCCTGCATCTGTCTGCCCCTCAGTGTTACTTCCCTTTCGTGGGGGACCCAACCCTGGGGGGAGGGAGGAGGGAGTGGGCAAGGGCCCCGAGGTTTTTCCAGTGTGTGTAAACCCATGAAAATAAACCTCATCTCGCCTGACTGCCAGCCTGCGGGGCAGCTGAGCCTAACTTCCAGTTCAGTGCGACACTGAAGCACAGAGGCCAGGACCTGCCAGGACCATGAAGCAGGTCTGAGACAGGACCAGGATACAGTGTAGGCCTCATGAGCCTTCTTAGAGCACCTGGCCTGGCCTCTTCCCCAGGCTTCTTTCTGGACAGCCCGCTGTTCCACCCCAACCCTCCTCAACAGGAGCCATTTGGCTGCTGACTCTCCCTCCTTCAAGGGACCATGGGACCAGGGCTGGACGGGAAAGACCTGCCCTGGAAGAACACCTTCTCTGGCACCAAGCCACTTGTTTTCATCTCTCCCTCAAGCCTGGAGGCTCCTGGGGCTCCCCCATTCAGCCAGGGAGAAACTTGCCCTTGTTTCTATGTCGGGGACACTGAACCCCAAAAGACAGAGATGGCTAGTGGGGAACTAGGATGAGACTCATGATCCTTTGTCTCCCAAGGACCCCTGAGTTCCAGGAAATGCCAGTAAGAGCCAGCCCTCTCGGTGGATCAGCCCAGAGGGCCCAGACAGAGATAAATAAGCCTTTATATACAGAGAAGCATGAGGTGGCAGCGGAGAGTGGGCAGCAGCAACAGCGGTGGGCTTGGCATGGTGGGCAGGGCTGAGGCCCTGTCAGTGGGAGAAGATGCCCCGGAAGCGGGCCTTGTCCTCCTCGTCCTTCTGCCGGATCCGTGCCTCCAGGGCCCTCAGCTCACGGCTCACAACAGGCGCCAGGGCAGGGTCCAGCTCTAATACCTTGGCAAAGTCAGCCTGGGCCTCCTGGGCATTCCACACGGCTGCATGGGCCTTGCCCCGCTTGAAGTAGGCCTTGACGTTGTCTGCAGGGGGGCAGTTGAGGGCAGCAGGCATGAAGGGCACCAGTCCCCAGTCAGCCCCGTGGGCCCATCAGGGGAGCTGTCCCTGACCTATGGAGGGCAACCCTGCCCTTCCCCCATTAAACCACCCACACCTCATGGGGGACCACAGCCCTGCCACACGTGGGGGGCATTTGGTTGGCTCGCAATGGGGGATGCTGAAGCTAGGTCTTGAGCCCCAGTGCCCAGTGACGGCAGAGGAGAAGGCCACTCTCCAGATTGCCTGCAAGAGCCCGGTGCCAGTGCTTACCGTCATACTTGTTGAGGATGGAGGAGCAGTGGTCCAGCACCTCGTAGTACTCCTGGGCCACCAGCTTGCACTGGCAGTAGTTGAGCAGCAGCGGGGTGATTTGCTGGTCCAGCTGGATCCAGTCAGGGGACCCAGGCTGCTCCTGGGGGCGTGGGGCAGGGACAGGGCAGGCACTGAGACCTGGGCCAGGGCTCTGCCCTGGCCCCTCTACCCACCCACTATGGCGCCCGCCCACCTTCATCTGCAGGTTTTTGAGGCAGGCAATGGCATCGTAGTACTTGGTGGCGGCCTCCTTCACCTGCCCCTCGCGGTACAACCGGTTGCCTTCCTGGTGGATGAGTGGCACTGCCTTTGCCTTCTCCTCATCTGTCATCGCCCATGGGTCCTGCTGGTATGTGCCAGGGCTCTCCACCTGCCAGGGAATGGGCCAAATCAAGGCAGAACCCAGGGGCACCCCAGTGTCCCCAACAGCAGACCTGGCCAACACCAAAGCCAGCCAGGCCTCTGGACATCAGTGTGGGCAGCAGTGTCATGGTGTTTCACTGACCATTCAGCCCAGTCACTGGCATCTCCTCCATGCCCAGCACTGTGCCAAGTACCAAGAAGAGAAGTGCACAAGACAGCGAAAGTCCCTGCCCTGCAGAGCTTGGCTCCAGGGCAGACTCCTGCGAGGAGGCACACACACTCCTTCAGAGCACTGCCAGGCTGTGCCCCGGGACAGAGAATAAAGGAGGCAGGACAGTGGCTCTCCAGAGGACATGATCACTGAGGCCTGGAGGAGCACAGCCTAGGACAGGGACTGGGGATTCAGAGGGTGCCACACAGTGTTCCTGCCCTGCTCACCTCCTCAGAGGCCTCCCACTGGTCGCACCAGCCCTGGACAGGTGCGCAGGGCCTTACCTTCAGCATCTCCATGTGGAAGATGAGGGGCTGGGGGTTCTGCTGCAGGGCATCCAGGTCTGCGTGGCCCAGAGAGCTGTGCTCGTGCATCTGGGCAATGCCACAGCAGTGTCGCTGGCCCTCCAGGGGGTCCTTGCCTGCCGCGATGTTGCGGAGACTCTTGGCCACCAGCGGATACAGGACCACATGCTGCAGGGGCAAGTGGGCACCGAGGGCTCCATCAGTATAGGCTGGTGCTAGCAGGCCCAAGAGGCCCTGCCCCACCTCATCTAAATAAGGACAGTAGGCCTGCCCACCCCCCAACAGAAACGCAGGAGGCTTTTCCCGCCAGACTCCTCTGGCTTCTCGGTCCTCCCTCTTAGTGAAGCCCCAGCTCTGCCCCACTCACCACCAAACCCAGCATCCACCCCATTCACACACGCACACTCCACCTCCCTGCCCTTCTAGATCCAAGAGGATTCTTGCCTCTTCCACTTCCTTCCAGGAATATGGAAATTGACTCCTCCCACACAGTGATCCAAGCATCTCTTCCTCTCCCCAGACTCACCCCGACCACCCCCAGCCAACATGGGTGGATGGGACCTGGCCTCCACCCTTTCACTTAGAAAGGCTGCTGGGACGGTGGGAATCAGTCTAACAGACTCTCCACTGCCCCCTGCTGTCTGCATGGGGCAGCACAGGGCAGCTGGGCATTTCCTGAGTCTCGGCTGGACCAACTTCATTTGGAAATAAGAGGTAAACAGGACTGATCCTGCCCTGCATAGCTCAGGAAAGCAGAAGACCAGATCCTGGCTGTGCAGGGCACAAGGGCTGGAAGACCCAGAGGAGGGGCTGAACCTAATCACTGACAGTAGAGGAGGGCTTCCTGGGAGTGGTGGCCGGGGAACTGATTGCGAAGTTTAGAGAGGGTCTTTGCCATGGTGAATGAAAAGGCAGGTGAGGGACTGGAGTCAGAGGAAACAGACCAGGAATGGCCATGTAACAAGCCATGTTTTATGCTCCATCCTGACAGCAGGAGCCAGAGGTTTGAAGCAAAGGGTCATATGGGTCATTTAATTTGAGAATGAGTCCCCTGGCTGCAGTCTGGGTCATGAGCAAGAGGAGTAACAGAGAGGCCAGGATGCTGTCAGAAGACTGGTTTGGTGGCCTGGAGGGAGCAGGTCATGGCTGAGTCTGGGCCTGGGGATAAGGAACAAGTTGTGGCTGGACAGACACTGCACACAGCTGCAGGACCGGTACCTTGATGTCACAGAGGAACTGGGCAATCTCCCCCTCGCGCATGGTGCACACTATGGTCTCCCACACAGGAAGCTTGAACTTCTTGCCAATGATGAGTTCCATAGGTTTCCCACGTGCCCGGCTGTCATCCAACACAGTGCCCTCATTGTCACTGTGTAGCGTCCGGTAGTGGAACGTGGCCTGCAGGCCACATGAAAGATTAGACAAGAGCACAAGCCTCCACCAAACCTAAGGACAAGTCCAGCCCCCCGCCTGCACATTGAACAAGGGATGGGACTCGCCCAGGGGTCACCACTTAACCCTACACTCTACTCCACTACCCCATTGAGGAATCTTAGTCACAGAGGGGGAAATAAGGGGCCTGAGTCATGTGGCTAGTGGCAGCTGGACTGAAACAAGAGTCTGGCTCCAATCAGGCCTTCAACAAATATTTACTAAGCACCTACTATGTGCCCAACCTCTGTGCCAGCCACCAGAACACAGCAATGAACAAAACAGACAAAAGGCTAGTGGTACATGCTTGAAATCCAGCAACTCAGGAGGCTGCGGCAGCAAGATTTCAATTTTGAGGCCAGCCTCACCAACTTAGTGAGACCCTGTCTCAAAATAAAAAGGGCTGGGGATGTAGCTTAGTGGTAAAGTTCCCCTAGGCTAAATCTCTAGTAACAAAAAGAAAAACAGACAAAAACCCCAGCCCCATGGGAACTTCTAGAAGGAGATGTGCCTCAGATCAAACCATGTGCTATGCCAGGTGAGGCTGAGTGCTTTGGATTAGGAAAAAACAGAGGGTGAGGGAGGGATGGTTTAAACAGCGGTGGAGCGGGGGGCCCTCTGAGGCCCAAGGTTGAAGCAGAGATTTGAAGAGAGCAGGAAGCAAGCCTGGTAGATACTGGGCAGGAACAGTCCAGGACAAAAGAACACCAGATACAAAAGCCTTGCAGAGGGACAGCATGTGGCGTATTTGCAAGCAGCAAGGTCAGTGTGGCTGAGCATAGTGAACAGGGTGGAAAGGTCCACAAGGTCACAGGGGCCAGCAGGGCTGGACTCACAGGACCTGGAGTCTGTGGTGAGGGCTTTGGTTTTACGGAGGCAGGATCATTAGGAGAGCAACGTAATGACCCAAGGGAGAGATGACTCAGTTTGGACTGGAGAAGGCTCAGGTGGAGCAGGTTTACACTGAGTTGCTGTAGGACATCCAGGGTGGGGATGGAGAGTAGGGTACTCTGCATCCAGCTTAAGATCAAGGTAAAGGCTAGAGCTAGGCAACTGGAAGTAATCCAGGCCGGAAACTTTTTAAAGAGATGAGACTGGGTATGAGCATCTTAGGTGAATGCAGAGCAAAGAGCGCTGACGCTGAACCCTGGACAGGATATGGTTAGAGGAACCCACGCTCTCAAAGGCCGCACTGTGCGGCTGCTCCTCTAAATCTGGTTTCCTCACTGATAAAACTGAATTAACAATCCTGTCTATCTCAAGTCACAGGAAACAACCTTGCAAAACATGTAGCACCATGCCCAGACAGCGAGCACTCAATCAACGCTGGTGATTGGGTGTCTTGATTTTTGTGTGTGTGTGGTTCTGAGGAATGGAACAGGGGTCTCACAAATGCTAGGCAAGCACTCTACCACTGAGCTACACCACCAACCCTGGTGATGGGGTTTTGCTATTTTTTTTTAATTTTTAAAAATAATAATTATTTTTATTAAAATTATTATTATTATTAAAATTATTATTTTTTTATTATTATTAGTTTTTGGATAACCTGTTCTTTGGGTGCCATTGCTCAGAAACCTCTACCTTCACATACATCACTCTCTCCTGGTTCTGTTCCAACCAGAATCCCTCTTGCGAGGCCCTTCTTCCAAGACCACCAATACCCCAGCCCACCACATACCCTCTCTATTCTTGGAGAAGATTCCTTTTAAATAGATGAACCCTAGGATTACACAGCTGCCCTCTGATCTCAGCGCACTCACGCTGCACCAGGCCAAGATCTCTGCCTGGCCAGGGAGCTTGTGCTCATTCACACTAGCTCTTACTTTTGGCTTCCCTGGAACCTCAACGTGCATGTTCTGCAAGACTGCTCTACTGGGCGGAAATGGGAAGGGGGCTGCCCAGGGAGGTCCCTACTGTACAGGATGGCACCCAGGGAGAAGAACTGCAGAAACAGAGAACTCTGTAGATGTGGGTTTTCTCGGAGAGGCGGTCAGGAAGGCTGAAGCTGAGTGCCTGGATATGAAAAGGAGGAAGGTGGGCGGCTCTTCACTTCCTAGCCCGCATTGGTTTCAAGCAACTATGCTACAGCCCTGGGAAAACTGCCACGAGGTTCTAGTCTGAGAACTGACCTCTGGGCCTCAGTTTTACCATCTAAACAATGGTTGTGGGTCTAAGTGTCTTTAGAAGGCCCTTCCCTCTACAAGAAGCCTCGAAACCCAAAGGCCCTGGAACTGCAAGGAGGCCAGACCCAAAACTCTTCTGCAACCTGCTTGAGATGATTGACCGCATTCCGGACCAAATACAGCCACAAGGACAAGCCAGGGGGCGGGACGGAAGAATCCGAATTCACCCCCTGCTTAAACCCAGACCAATCAGCGTCGAGCTCCGCATGTGAGTAGTAGGGTCACTGGCCGCTACTCTCTGGGCATGCGCAACGTCTCGCCTAAGGCCTCCTCCCGCCTCGCATGCGCACCGCTCCTCGGAAGGGAGCTAGGGAAGGGGAGGGGGTGGACACGAACCTTGGTTCCATCCTGAAAGCTAGGGAGCTCTCCTCGCCCCTCCTGTATTACACGCTTTTGGATCCCGTCCTCTCGGAGTCTTGCGATGATATCCGCCATCCTCCTTCCCCGCTGCTCTCTTTCGGCAACTTCCGGACTCGCTCGGTAACTTCCGGACTGCCTTCGACAACTCTTAGAGCCTCGGCAGCTTCCGAGCTAGCGCCATTTTGGCTGAGGGCAGAAGCCTAGAGGGGACTGAACGCGCGAACGCGCCATGATTGGCTGCCTGCGCGGCGGAGTGGGCGGGGTCCGCCTGGAGGCGGGGCTTGAGGATTTCGGAGGGAGGGGCCAGAATCTGCTGGAAAGGTGGGGCCAGTTCATCCCGGAGTGAGCGTCGCGGGTGTCCCCAGCAATTGCGTGATTGAGCTGCTTGGAACTGTGGCCTTCCCAGATGGCTGTGTGCCGCTCCGTTTAAAGTTGTAAGATACAGCATAACAGCCTTAGAGTTAGAGAAATAAGTAAAACTCACTCGAATACCAAGCCCTAAAACGACTTTTCTGTGTGTGAACCCCCTTCTGGTTTTTTTCTTTTGCATATTTAGTATAACTGACTTTTACATCCTGAATTTGTGTTTGTTTGTCTTTTGTGGTGCTGGGGATTGAACCCAGGGCCTTGTGCAAGTGAGAAAAGCACTGTACCAACTGAGCCATGTCCCCAGTCCTATATCCTGGATTTTTGTATTTAAAAAAGGGACGGCTGGGGCTGGGATTGTGGCTCAGAGGTAGAGCGCTTGCCTAGTATGCCTGAGGCATTATTGGGTTCCATGCTCAGCACCGCATAAAAATAAAATAAAGATATTGTGTACACCTATAACTAAAAAATAAATATTTTAAAAAAAAAAGAGGACTGGGTGGGTTGGGGATGTAGCTCAGTGTCAGAAGTTTGCCCAGCATGTGTGAGGCCCTGAGTTCCAGGTCCAGCACGGGGTGGGGGTGGGGGTCCACCGGAAGCTCCCCTAAAGACCAAGGGTCCCCCATGTGGTCTGGGGTGAGTTTGTGGTCACCTCTGAACCCAGAGTGCCTGACACAARGTACCCAGTAAATACTAGAAAATAGATGACAAAAATGAGGATCTAGCTGGGTGTGTAATCCTGGAGACTCCGGACGCTGAGGCAAGAGGATCGCTGGTTCAAGGCCAGTCTCAGTAATTTAATAAAACCTAAGCGATTTAGGGAGACCATGTCTTAAAATAGAAAAAAAGGAGGAGGTTGGGGATGTGGTGGAACGTCCTTGGATTCAGTCCCTGGTACCAAAATTTAAAAAGAAAAAAAAGAGGGGCTAAAACAGTTTCTCTCTGTCCCTGCAAACTAGTGGAAACTTGCTGTAAGCAACAGCCCTAAGAGGTTTTTTGCTCCCGTTTTCAAGGTCCAGGGAAGGGACTAAGGAGTAAGAGGTGCAGCCCTCCTGTGCTTTTGCCTGCGTCACAATTGCGAGGGAGGAAGGATTATCGTTTTTCCCGTGAGACCCAGGCACGAAGTGCTTCGCATACTGTACTGGTTCATTTTCCAATAAGACATCCTTGGAGAGACAGAGGACTTCTGAGGTGAGGGAAGACATGCTTGGTTTTTGTTTTGTTTTTGTTTTATCAACACAGAAAGTTTATATGCAAGTTCTATCAAATTTTGAGCAAAAAAATCATCTGTATCTCATGCAAATTGTTCCAGAAAATAGAAAAAAGAAAGCGCACCAACATGAGGCTGGTTGAATCTTGATTCCTGAGCACACAAGGCAAGAAAAGTATACACTTATTTTACTAATAAATTCAGATACAGAATAAAGAAAATATTAAGCTCAGGGCCTAAGGTTCAGCTCAGTGGCAGAACACTTGCCTAGCAGATGGGAAACCTTGGATTTAATCCCTGGTACTGAAAGAAAAAAAAAAAAGCTAATTAAATCCTTTAGGATATATAACAGTGTATCAATATGCTCAGCCAATATATCAGTCACAAAAGAAAACACTGTGATTGCACTTGTAGGAGGTCTCTGAGTACTCAGTTCCTAGATMCAGAAATGGAGGTCTCAGTACTCAGTTCATAGATACAAAAAGGGAGACGGAACAGAGTCATTTTTTTTTTTTAATGAGTATAGAATTTCARTCTTGCAAGATGAAAAAGTTCTGGAGATATGCTGCACAGCAATGTCAATATGCTGAACTGTATGTTTAAAAACAGTGAAGATGGTATATTTTTTTGTGTATTTTACCACAATGAAGAATAATATTTTCGCAGCCAGAAGAATGAGAAATTATACTCCATTTATGTATGATGTGTCAGTGCATTCTACTGTCATGTATAACAAATTAGAACAAATGAATTAAAAGAATAAATATTTCCAAAATGATGTATGAAAAGACACCCCTCCCCCCAAAAAATGTGTGAAGATCATGTAGTAGAACTTATTCCAAGAATGTAAGAATGGCTTAACATGAGGAACATCCATTACAGTAATTCATCACATCAGTGGACTAAATGAGAAAATGCCTATGCTTATCTCAAAATATGAAGAAGAAGCGTTTGAAGTTTTATGATTGTTTATCATAAAAACTCATAGGAACAAAGAGGAACTGTTTGGAGTTGATAAAAGCCATTCACAATTTATTATARAATAACAGTATTTCACATCTTCTTCAAAATCCTTCTGTCAATGATGCCTTGTAGAACAGAATTAGAATCCATGGCCAAAGCAATAGGCCAAGAAAAAAACGGCAAACTGACATTATTGGCAAATTATGTCTACATAGAAAATACAAAAAATCTAAAGACCAACAAATGAGCTCATCAATGTTACCCGAATACAAAATAAGCTAGCAATAATTAATAATGCTTTGAGCATCAGAAACCAACTCAAATGTAGAAAATAAGGGCTGGGGGTGCAGCTCAGTGGGAAAGCATGTATTTAATATGTACCAGGTCCTGGGTTCAATCTCCATCACCAGAAAAAAAAAATACACACACACATTTGTATGCATGTATGCATATAATAAAATATCATTAGCAACAACAAAACCCATAAAGTATTTAGGAAACCAAAACACAATTCAGAACTTTTTTGGAGAAAAAACATTTTTAGTACATAATGACATAAATTACTAAAATAACTTGTTGTAAATGAATAGAACAACCTAACATCAAAAGATGTGATTTTGGGTTTGGGGATATAGCTCAGTTGGTAGAGTGCTTGCCTCACATGCACACTTGGGTTCAATCCCCAGCACCACAAAAAAAAAAAAAAAAAAAGTGATTTTCCTGAAATCGTGCAATGAAATCCCAATAATAATTAGGAGTACTTTTTAGGAACTTAGAATTAAATCTATGAGAAACACTGTCTTTACCTCCAGCTGACCTGTGAAGAAACTGAGGCATAGAAAAATCATGTAATTAGCTCAAGGCAAGGCCGGGACTAGGGCCCAGGCAATCAGGATGATCCGCATAAAGTCCAGTTCTATCTTATTTAAAAATTTCAATAATTTGTTCATCATGAATTTTTGTCTTAAATTTGATTTTTAAAAAGAAGTAATGCAGTAAAATGCTATTTACTTTGCTTGCTGAGTTTTTTTGTTTGTTTGTTTTTGGGTGTACCAAATTTTTCACATGCAGGACCTTCCCTATCCCAGCCTTCAAAGTTCCCAAAACTAGTGAGAAGGAGAGCTGTAATCCCAGAAGGCTTGACTCCAGGGCCAGTCTGAAAGGCTTTGTTGCAATACTTTTCTGGACAGTAAACCATGAGGCCAGMAGGATAAGAAACTGGAGGATCCTCAGCTGAGGCTTTGTGACCTTGCAAGGCAACACTTGAAGCAAGACTCCAGGAGCACATGCCTGACAGATCTGACCTTATAAAAAGGAGTGGCTACAGGTGAGATGGCGCACACCTGCAGTCCCCGAGACTCAGGAGGCTGAGGCAGGAGGAGTCCTTGAGTCTAGGAGTTGGAGATTAACCTGAGCCCAGTAGCAAGACCTCATCTCAGGGGAAAAAAAGACAAAAAAAAGGAGCAATTTTTCTTTAACCAAAAACTCCTTAGACAAAGTAAGGAGATAAAGACCGGGAGGAAAATAAGGAAACATAAATGCTGTAAAAAACAAACATTTCAAGGACTTCTGGTTTGGTTTCTTTTTTTCCCAGAGTCTCTATCTCTTGAAGTAATCTTTTGCTCCCTATATTTAAACTTGGACCATTTGACCCAGCTATCCCACTCCTCTGTCTATACCCAAAGAACTTAAAATCAGCATACTCCAGGGACACAGCCACACCAATGTTTATAGCAGCTGAATTCACAATAGCTAAACTGTGGAACCAACCTAGATGCCCTTCAATAGATGAATGGATAAAGAGACTGTGGTATATATACACAATGGAACATTACTTAGCATTAAAAGAGAATCAAATTATTGCATTTGAAGGTAAATGGATGGAGTTGGAGAATATCATGCTAAGAGAAACGAAATAAGCCAATTCCAAAAAACTAAAGGTTGAATGTTTTTTTTTTAAAGAGAGAATTTTTTAAAAATATTTTTTTTAGTTTTCGGTGGACACAACATCTTTGTTTGTATGTGGTGCTGAGGATCGAACCCGGGCCGCACGCATGCCAGGCGAGCGCGCTACCGCTTGAGCCACATCCCCAGCCCAAGGTCAAATGTTTTATCTGATTAATGGATGCTGATCTATGATGGATTGGGGGCATGAGAAGAATGGACCATCTTTGAATTGGGCAAAGGGGAGGGTGGGGAGGGGCTCTGGGGTAGGAAAGATGGTGGAATGAGATGGAAATCATTGCCCTAGATACATGTATGATTGCATAAATGGTACATCTCTACACTGTGTACAACCAGAGAATTGAAATGTTGCACTCCATTTGTGTATAATGAATTGAAATGCATTCTGCTGTCGTGTACAACTAAGTAGAACAAATAAAAATAATAATAAGGGCTGTGGCTGTGGCTCAGCGACAGTGCACTTGCCTGGCAGGGGTGAGGCACTGGGTTCGATTCTCAGCACCACATATAAATAAATAAAATGAAGGTCTATCAACAACTAAAAAAATATTTAAAAATAATAACAATAAAACTGCAAAGGGTTAATAATTATATATGCAAACCAGCAGAAGAAAGGCCAGGCACCCCAAAGGAAAAAAAAAAAAAAGGCAAAGATGTGAGCTGGCAACTCACAGAGGAGGCAACCTCAATGGTACGTGCCTGAAACCTGCCTTAAGTCTCCAGTCCTCAGATACCCCCATCAAAATAAAGCACCACTTTCTTCCTCCTTTTTTTTTTCTTCTAAGAAGAGGAAGAGAAGCCACTCCTACAATCCCAGTGACTCAGGAGGCTGAGGCATGAAGATTCCAAGTTTGAGGCCAGTCTCCTGAGCAAGCTATGCATCAACGTAGAGCAAACACATTTGTGTYTTTCCACATGTAGGGTTTATTTGTTTGTTTGTTTGGGGGTGCTGGGGATTGAACCCAGGGGCACTTGGCTACTGAGCCCATCCCCAGCCCTATTTTGTATTCTGTTTAGAGACAGGGTCTCCCTGAGTTGCTTAGTGCCTTGCTTTCGCTGAGGCTGGCTTTGAACTCTTGATCCTCCTGTCTCAGCCTCCCCAGCCACTAGGATTACAGGCGTGCACCACTGCGCCCGGCCAGAATTCATTGAATGTAATCAATTCACAAGTTACACCACTTTCAGGGGTGGCAGTTCACTGYGTCCTTGCAGGTCATCTAATAGTCAAAAACCAGACCATCACTGATTCTTTGATCCCACTCTTAAGTTTTAATATCTATAACACTCAAGTCTCTTAGGGTTCTAGGCTGCTCTGCCAAGAGCACAGGCAGAGAGTAAAGAGTCCCTGTAGGTGGTCAGATAAGGGTTGGGTTTTTTTTTTTTAATATTTTTTATACCTTTATTTTGTTTACTTTTTTTTAATGCAGTGCTGGGGATCGAACCCAGTGCCTCACGTGCTAGGCAAGCAGCTGTGCCATTGAGCCACAACCCCAGCCCCAGATAAGGGTTTTAACTAACCAGCTCACAGAGTTGTCCAGGCAGAGATCAGCTGGGCGGGGGGCCCCTGCCTTGTCTTCACAGGTAAGAGAAACCACCCTGAGCGGAAGGAAGCCCAAGAGAAACAGAGGTTCATCACGGAGGCCATCTGCCTGGGCAAGGCTCATGACAAGTGACCAGGTGATGGGGTCAGGGTGTGTTTCAGTCAGTTTTTTCATTGCTGTGAGCAAAAGACCTGACAAGAACAATTAGAGGAGGAAAAGTTTATTTGGGGGCTCACGGTTTCAGAGGTCTCAGTCCATCGATGACCAGCTCCATTCCTCAGGACCTGAGATGAGGCAGAACACCATGCGGAAGTGTGTGGCAGAGGAAGGCACTGGGGACCTGGCACCAGGAAGCAGAGAGAGAGAGAGAAAGAGAGTGCGCTGTCCTCACTACAACAAAACAGAAGTCCCAAGGGCACACCCCCAGGAACCCGCCTCCTGCAGCCACACCCTGCCTGCCTAGTCACCACCCAGTTAATCCCTGTCAGGGAATGAAGGCACTGATTAGGTCATCTCACCTCTAAACTATCTGGCATTGTCTCACACATGAGCTTTTGGGGGTACCTCATGGCTAAAAACATAACAGGCTGCTGCCGTGTCCATTCTTGGGGGGCTTCTTTTATGGGTCAGAGGTGATGGGGTCACATCTGATGAGGTTGATAAGTTCCTGTGTCCAGTGGTCCTGGTGTGATTTGGCATGGGCACAGGTCCAGGTGCTCCTGATTCTGTCTGATAAATTGGCACCAATAAGTTATTTATCAATTTGTGTTTTTATGATTGTGCCGGGCAGATGATGGTTCTTTACTTGTGCAAATATGGTGTAGAGTCATTCTACCTTGGCACTTGGACCCAAAGTGGAGCAACATATTGTTAACTACTGCTTTACAAAGTGGAGTAACTTTGGTTTAGGCACAGCCTGTTATATCAAGGAGTTACTCAAGGCGTAACTCCCGGGATGGGGCTGTTGCTCAGTGGCGAGCACTTGACCTAGCATGTGTGAGGCACTGGGTTCGAGCCTTGGCACCACATAAAATAAACAAATAAAATAAAGGCATTCTGTCCATCTACAACTTCAAAAGTTAAAAAAAAAAAAAAAAAAAAAAAGGAGTAACTCCAGCAGGGCACAGCCTATTGTCCACACCTCTGCAAGTTAGCAAGACCCTGTCTCAAAATAAAAAGTACAAAGTAGCTCAGTGGGTCCAGTTTCCAGCACACACACACACACACAGGAAGAGAGAGAGGAGAGGGAAAAAAAAGAAAGAACAGAGGGAGAGAAGGAAGGAGGAAGAAGGAAGGAACYGATAAGGCACCATTTGCAACTCAGGAGACTGGCCAGCCCAGGAAGCTGGATGACAACAGGTGATAAGAGAAAACTAGAAGCACCCAGGTGTGTGTGTGTATCAACACCATGGCTACTCAGGAGAGCATCTGCCAGCTTCAAGAAATCATAAGGGCATGTGCCCTGTGACCTGGARTCTTGCCCCAGGAGAGCTCTCCCACATCTAAAGAGGCAGAAAGAAGATGTTCATGTCAGCGGTGTGTGTAATGGGGACGTCAGGCCAACCTGAGTGTGATCGCCACAGGGGTGAGGCGGATGATAAAAGCCCCAGAAGTTCAATGTGCTGTAACCTGCAAGCCACTAGGAGCAACAAATGAGATGCACATGGAAAACGTTACCGGTGAGTGGAAAGATGTGAAGATTAAGTGGCAGAATTAGCTTGATAGCTGACACCATGTCTGTCAATTGCAAGCACATTCACATAGGAGATTCGCCATGTGCCATTCAGGCCAGGCAGGATTGGCTGTGGTCTGATGGAAGGGAGGTAAGAGGGAAGATGAGAAGCCAMGAAGGGGAAATGAATTAATGGAATTCGATACGTGATGCAAAGCTCACTAAAGACTGCACAGTTGAGGACAGGCTCTGAGAGGTGAGGAGTGAGCAAGGATGAAGATAACAAAAGCTGTGAGAGGAGCAAGGTTAAGTGCCRCCAGGCACAGGGAGCAGCCTGTGCAAGCCTCTGAGGTGGGCATGARCTTGGCCTGCGCAGTGTGGCTGAGCGGGATGTGGAAGGGGCAGAGGGGGACTTGGGGAGGGTGGAAGAGGTGGACAGGCACCGAGGCATTCAGAACTTTGTGTGCCCTAATCAAGCGTTCAGATTTTATTCAATTACAATAAGAGGAGAGATTGACTAGCATACTTTTTAAAGTTTCTTTCTGATTCTTTTGGTTTTGGTTTGGATTCAGGATTGACCCCATGGCCTGCATATGCTCTTCCACTGAGCTACATGCCCAGACCATAATATAAATAAATAAAT